AGGGCAATGCTCTGCTGGTTTTTCACGAGCAGGGATCTGGGACGAAAGCGGAGCAGCCCGAACTTACCTTACAACAGGATGCCAGCGTCACAGGGAGTGGTTTAACATGCTATGCCACAATGTCCACCCTGGAGTGGACTTTATTGTTATTATTTTATTTATTTGCAAGGCAGAGTTATGGGGGAGTGGGGAGATCTATTTGCAGGTTCATCCCCCTCCCCCAGTGCATCCAAGGCCAGGAGCCTGGAACTCCACCTGGGTCTCCCACACAGGGTCTAAGTGCTTGGGCCCTTCTCTGCTGCTCCGCCAGGCACATCAGCAGGGAGCTGCACTGGACATGGTGGAGCAGGTGGAACTCCGACAGTGCCATATGCGCAGCTGCAGTAACAGCCACGGAGAGGACATTTTGCTAGCGGTTGAGGACACTGGCAACTTACAGGTCAAAGTCAGGCAGAAGTTGAGTTAGCAGGGCTGGCACCATGGCACCGTAGGCCAAGCTTCTGCCTGGGCTGCCAACATCCCCTGTGGGCACCGGTTTGAGTCCTGGCTACTCCACTTGTGACTCAGCTCCCTTCTTATAGCTTGGGAAAGCAGGAGAGAATGGCGCAAGTCCTTGGGGATCCTGCACCCAACTGCACCCACGTGAGACCCTGAGGGAACTCCTGGCTCCTGATTGGCTCAGCTCCAGTAGTTGGGCCATTTGGGGAGTGAACCAGCGGATGGAAGATCTCTGTTTCTCCCTTTCTCTCTGTAAACTTGACTTTCACATAAAAAGAGATACATCTTACAATGTTGGGGAGCAGTGGCCATTTGGGATACCTGCACCCGAGGTTCCAGTGCCTGGGCTAGGGTGCTGCTTCACTTCTGAGTCCCTCAGATGTGAACGGTAGGAGGCAGCAGTCTCGCCAGAGGAGCACACGCACTGCCAGCTGTACGGAATCCCTGCCTGGCTCGGCCCTGCCTAATCCAGGCATTTGAACAGCAGGTGGAAGATTTCTGTCTCCTTCAGTCTTTCAAATAAACACAAATCAATCTTAAAAATCACCTTCCTGGAAAAATTTAAAAGGCAAGCTTATTATGTACAAAGCAGTCTTTGGATAACACACATTACCAAGAATGTTCTTTAGACTCTGTGCTGCGTTTGTGTCTGTTTATGGCTGTTAGGCAATGTTTCCAAGTGTCCCTGGCTTTTCCTGCACCAGGTTTAGCAACCCCAGTGGGCACCAGAGCGTGGGCAGGGTGGTGAGGACGAGGAGGGAGCAGCGACCCAGCGCAAGAGCAAAGGGTTAAATCGGCTTTCACCGGAATCTCCCAGGTCACCCCTAAACCCTTTCTCACTGGAGCCCCCTTAGCCAAGCATCCAGTTTCCGCCCTCTAGGCTGCTGCGGGAAGAGGGAGGGACCCTGGAAACGAGCAGGTGCAGGGTAGGGGGCTTCAGGGAGAGTGAGGGCGGCGTGGAGTGGGGGGACCTCAGTGCCTTCGGCCCCCTGGAGCAGCGCCCCCAGAGAGCTGGTGGAAGAGGAAAGAAGAGGTGTGCGGGCCAGGAGGCCGCACACACCTGGCGCCTTGAGGAATGAGCGCTGAATTAATTATTAAACCGAGTTCCCGCGGGAGGGAGGGAGCGCAGTCAGGGCCAGGCGGGCGGGAATGGCAGGGTGGGGGCTGGGCGGGAGGAAGGGAGGGGTGCGGAGGGGCTCGGGGTGCCAGCTTGGCCCTGAGGACCCGGCCGCGCCGGGAGGCGACCCTCGGAGGGCGGTGGCAGCCAGAGGCTGGCTGTGCCCGCGCGCGCGCCGCGACCCCGAGGCTGGGGACGTGTGGGGGGTGGGAGGCTGGAGGGTGGCGGGAGGGGGCTCAGCTGCACGGCCCCCTCCCCGGGGTCCTGATCCCCCGAACAGTAGCCCGCTTGTTTCCTCTTCCCCGGGGGAGGAAGCGGCCGCAGAGGAGAGGAGGGGGCCCGCGCGCAGGGGAGAGCTCCGGGGCCCCGAGCTCCCGCGCGCTCCGGAGGGCAGTGCGCGCCGGGCGCAGCAGCAGCTCCCGCGGAGCGGGGGAGGGGGCCCCGGACAAAAGGAGCTTGTGCCTTTAAGGCGGGGAGTCCGGGAGCCGACGGGGAGGGGACTTCTGGATCCGGGGTAGAGGGCGCTGCGCTGGACAACAAGGGAGGGGGCGCGGGCCGGGCGGACGCCGGGCGCCGGGCGGCGGGGGACGGCGGCGCGGAGCAGGACGGCGCGGCGGCCGCCCGGCCGGGACCCCCGCCGGCAGGTGAGCGCGCGGCCCGGGGCTGCAGCCCAGCGCGGGCTGGGCGTGGGGGGCCCCCCCGAGACCTGGGACCTAGCAGAACCGAGGCACCCCAGGAGGAGGAGGAGGAGGAGGAGGAGGAGGAGGGCAGGGGTCCCGATCTCCGGACTGTCCGGCCTCCTTCCGTGGGGTGTGCAGGCAGCCCAGCGTGGGGAGGGGGTACAGGAGAAGGGGTCCGAGGCCCAGAGTTGCGGGGGGGCTGGTGAGGTAGTTGCTAGAGCAGACGGCGGGATGCCTCGGTCTGTGGAATACTTCCCTCCCTGCCCTTAGCCCCACAGCTTTGGAACGAAGCAAATGCTGCCAGCCACCCACTGCCCCCCCACCCCGGAGCCGCAGAGTGGGCCGCCCCGGGTAGGGTGGGAAGGCCCACTTCATTCGTAGCCGACTGGAGGCCTCCTTGCAGAGCCAGGGGGTGGCCAGCTGGCCGGAGAGGCCCTTTCCCTCCCCTCGCCGGAGTGTGGCCCTGGGTGCCCGAGAGAGCCCCTTGTGGGGCTGCATATGGGTACCCAGTGTGGAGAGGGAGGGAGGCGGAGCTGGACCTCCAGACACAGGCCTGGGGAGGCTCCTCCACATCTGGAAAGGCCGAGAATGGAGGCCCACGTCCCTACATGGTGGGCGGTGCTGGCAGTGCTGGGCCACGCCTGGGCAGCGCCTTCTCCCCTGAACTTTTGTGAAGTCGTTTAGAATTCCCTGGCTCCTGCCCTTGCCAAGGCGGGCAGGGGCACCAGAGGTGGCTAGGAAGAGGCTTGGTGAAGCCTTGGGCAGAGCCTTGGCTCGGGCTGGGCCTTGGCCTGCTGCAGAAACTGCTGTTTGAGGCTTAAGGGTCAGGGCTTGGGAGGGCCTGGAAGGTCCTGGGTGCGGGGCTGCAGGGCAGGTTGCTCCGACCGGGAGCTGGGAGTGTGTGGAACAACCAGACCAGGACCCAAGGGCGCAGGAGGGCCGAGACAGTTGGGCCTGGGAGCCCGACTTTCCTGCGGAAGAGGGAGACGGCATGCCGGCCTAGAGTTCGTAGTGCTGGTTCCAGAACGGGCAGGGGTGAGGGACCATGCCAAGGAGGTCTGTGGTCTGGAGCAGTGCCCTCCCCTGTGCCCGTGGTGCCAGCCTGGCAGGGGGTGCCAGTGTCGTGCTATGGGAGGGGCAGTGCCTGGAGCAGAGCCCTGGGTGGCTGCAGTTGCTGGGTGGCCACCCTGAAGCTGTCCCCTCGGGGCAGACGGCATGTTTTCGGAGAGGATCAGGCACTCCGCTGACAGCTTCTATCCCTTCGCTGTGAGTGTGTGCCAGCTGCCAGGGCCTAGCTGCTAGCAGGCGGTCTGCTGAGGGTTGGCACTTGTTCTCACGGCGGAGACCCTGCTCCCCCAGGAAGTGTTGTGCAGGGCCAGGCTGCCTTTTGCCCTTTTCCGAATGCCTGCCCACTCGGGGTCCTGTGTGCCTGACCATGTGTGACTTCAGGCGGTGCCATGGGCCATCTGGGAGCCCAAGAGCATGCGCGACTCCAGGGGAAGTGAGCTGGGCCGAGGGTGGCTCTGGAACGTGCCCCCTGCCTGTGTGCTTTGTGGGCCTGTGGACTGCTGCTGCCCTGGCTTGAAGCATCCGCCTGGGGGGAGCCTGGGGGAGTCCCCAGGCTTCTTGTCCCCCGGTGAGTACAAGTGTCAGTGCTGCTAGCTCAGCAGGTGCAGAGGGACACCCTGCGGGCCTGCTGCAGCACAGGTGGCCGCACATGGTGCTCCCAGGTCCCTGGCTCCCTGTCTAGGCTCAGCCAGGACACACTTCCACAGTGTCCATCCCTGTGCCCTCAGCTGGCAGCCCCCAGAACTGCTGAGAACACAGTACTAAACATTTCCTTTCAGGAAACCTAGGGGTCTGTGACTTATTTGGTACCCCTCATCTTGATAACTAGAGCCAGCCTTGTAACATGACTATGGGCCTCAGTTTGGGTGTTTGCTTTTAATGAAAACAATTGTTTATTTGAAAGGCAGAGAGCACCCACCTGCCGACTCCCCAGATGCCACGATGGCTGGGGCTGGGTCAGGCTGAAGCCTGGGACTCACGGTCCCCACATGGGCGGCCGGGACTCAAGGGCTTGAGCGTCCCCCAAACTCCCGGGATACATCCGCAGGAATCTGCACTGGACGCCAGGCCTTCAGATTTGGGGTGCAGGCAGTTTAGCCTGTGTACCAAAGTCCCCACCCATCACTGCACCACCTCCCCAAGCAGGGCCTTGAGAGCAATGGTGGATGATGGCCTCTGATTTGTTGTTTGCTCTGGCAAATCTGTCCTGGGTCCCGGGCGTCCACAGAACTGGCTTCACAGGGTTTTGCTGAAGAGCAAATGGAATTGTCACGTGGAAGACCTTGGCAAGTTCAAAGCCAGAGGAAGTACCTGGGGCGAGTCTAATCCATCCGTGCAAACCTTTCATCCATTTACTAGATCCTGTTGGGTGTTGTGGACAGATCAGTCAGCAAAACAGGCCGGTATGCTTGTTTTCCTCAAGTTGGCGTCCCAGTTAGGAGAGCAAGAAAGTGAACAGACCAGGAGCAGACATGGGTGGCAGGTGCTGGCAAAGATTGTGGAGAAGAGGATATGGCTGGGGAGGGAGATAGGGAGTCCCAGGAAAAGGGGCTGCTATTTTAGGAGGGTGCCCAGAAAAGCTTCGGTGATAAGGGAGCAGAAGGGCTGAGAGCTGGTGGAGCTCTCGTGGCAGACAAGGAGCACCCTGCGGCTGGCCTGCGCTTGGGGTGCCGGGGCACGGCAAGGGAGCTTTGGAGCTGGCGCGGTGAGGACGAGTAAGGACGAGTGAGAACCACAGGACTGTCATTGTTAGCTGTGTTCGCACCTCCTGCCACCTGCCCGGTCCTGGTGCTTGCTTACATTCTGGCTTTTCAACACACCATGTTCCTGCGGTGGGCCAGGCCAGCAGCTGACACTGGCCGTGCAGGGCCTAACCTCAGAATGCTTCCACTCCAGAGGGTGGAGACATCCACCCAGGCTGGGTGGGTGGGTGGGTGGGCTTCCAACATGGAGGAAATTTGCAGAGGCCAGTGGGATTGGATGGTGTCCAGGTGAGGGAGGTGGGAGGAAGTGCAGGTTGAGTGGCTGGTGGGAAAAGCTGGGTTCAGCTTGGTGGAGTGTGCGTGAGTGTGACGAGGAAGGAGGTCACGGATCAGCACCTCATTCTGCATTTGTGATTAGTACAGCTCGCGCTCTTCAGAAACGTGGCTTAGTCACTGACATTTAAAAATCGCTTGATGTTGCCTTGCAACACAGGTGTTTTTCCCGATAGCCCCCGCTGCAAACTTGGAAGGTCAGTGTCACCGGGACACCTGGCACGCAGAGCGGGCTCTTTCGCTCTCAAGGCGTTTCCGGAACCGTAGCTGGCTCACTCTTTGACACAGGCATTTGAGGTTGTGATCGCCAAGCAACATGCCAGTTTGGAAAGAGGTGGCTTTTTATGTGGATGAGTGTTGGAGTGAGACGAACCTGGTAGAATCCTGGCTGTCTGCACTGAAGGACTCCTTGGCTTTGGGTCACCCCCTCATGTCTTGCCTTCATTAACCTGCTGAGTAAGGGGAGGTGCCATTGCACACCTCCAAGTGATTTTACAAGGATGCCATGTCGGACACAGGGCGTAGCAGGGCCCAGGGGAGTGGTGGTGACCACAGGGATCCTACTCATGCTGTCTCCTTCCTCTCCCTGCCAGCATGTCCTGGTTTAGCGGCCTCTTGGTTCCCAAAGTGGATGAGCGGAAGACAGCCTGGGGTGAACGCAATGGCCAGCAGCGCCCACGCCGTGGGACCCAGGCCACCGGTTTCTGCACGCCTCGCTATATGAGCTGCCTTCGGGATGCAGAGCCACCCAGCCCCACCCCGGCAGCTCCTCCAAGGTGCCCCTGGCAGGATGAGACCTTCGTTCGCAGGGGTGGCCCGGGCAAGAGTGTGGAGCTGGGGCTGCGGGCTGTGGCCCTGGGCTTTGAGGACACGGAGGCGACGGCAGCAGCTGGGGCGACTGAAGTGGCCTCCGGAGTGGCCCCCAGGAGCGGCCGATCGTGCTGGCGCCGCCTGGCACAGGTGTTCCAGTCGAAGCAGTTTCGCTCCGCCAAGCTGGAGCGCCTGTACCAGCGCTACTTCTTCCAGATGAACCAGAGCAGCTTGACGCTGCTGATGGCGGTGCTGGTGCTGCTCATGGCCGTGTTGCTGACTTTCCATGCCGTGCCCGCGCCCCCTCAGCCTGCCTACGTGGCCCTGCTGGCTGGGGCTGCCACCCTTTTTGTGGCGCTCATGGTGGTGTGCAACAGGCATAGCTTCCGCCAGGACTCCATGTGGGTGGTGAGCTACGTGGTGCTGGCCATCCTGGCTGCCGTGCAGGTCGGGGGTGCCTTGGCAGCCAACCCGCACAGCCCATCTTCAGGCCTGTGGTGCCCCATGTTCTTCGTCTACATCACCTACACACTCCTACCTGTCCGTATGCGAGCGGCCGTCCTCAGTGGCCTGGGCCTCTCCGCCCTGCATTTGATCTTGGCTTGGCAACTCAACCGCACTGATGCCCTGCTATGGAAGCAGGTGGGTGTGGAGGGCACCAGGGCAGGCACTGGGTGGATAATGAATGTGGGGGCATCTGGGAGGAGAGGCTGGGGATGGCAGGCCATGCTTCCAGGATCAGCCTCCATCTGGGGTCTGGGGACAAGGACGTGGTGAAAGACTGGGAAGATCCAGGGGCCTGAGCCTGCACTCTTGTATTTGGGTCACAGGCTCCATTTCTCGGTGCTGCCATAGAGGTGGTACAAGAAGGGCTGTAGGTGGGGGTGTGGGATGTGTTCCTGGGCTGGGAAGGCAGGGTGGCTGTGTCCACAGATTGACCCCTAAGATTCAGTTTTTGGTGTTGTCTCCACAGAGCAATCTTGGGGTTGGCCTGGGTGGACTGCAGGTTTGGATGGCCTTGGCAGGCAGGGGAAGAATCACCTTTGTTCAGGACCAAAGCTTGTGAGAGGCCGGGGAAGCTGGGGTCTGTTCTCCCGCGGGGCTCCATAGGGGTTGAACCTTGGCATGTTGGGGTGCAGTCAGATCTCACCCCACCGCCTTGTGGTGGAAGTTCTTGGCCCCGCTGGCCATGGCCTTTGGGTCCTGAGTGCAGCTGTGGGACTAACAGCATGGCGTGGCTGAGCCACACGTACACCAGGCTGTCCAGCGGGCTGCATTCTCTGTGGGATCTCAGACCTCAGTCTCCCAGGCTTTACCACTGGGGGCAGCACCCACCTTAGAAAGCGGCTCTGAGGTCTTGCCCTCCCTGCTGGTGCCTAGCCTAAGGGTTCCTGGGAAGGTGCCCCACGTGGGTGCTGGAGAGTACAGCCCTGTATGCTTCATGGGCCCCCTTGGTCAAGGTGGCAGAGACCTGGCTCTGCCCTGCTGATTGCCACTGCCCAGTAGCCCACCCTGGTCACACCCTTAGAGAGGAAGTTGCCCTGAGCTCCCAGGGTGAGAAGCTAGGTGCTCTGGCATGGTGCCCTTCCCCGCCCAGCCTGGACTGGGAACAGTATGTACCTTTTTGAAAGTAACTTTATAGCCCGTTTGTTTGTGGAGCACGTGCCCATAGGGCATTATCAGGCTCTTAAAGGGCCAGGTTCTCCCCCACTCCCAGCCCCTCTGCTCCAGGCTGGTTCTGGTCTAGGTCGGGCTTTGGGGGCTGGAGTGTTCTCCTGGGGGAGGAGGGAGTTTAAGGGGCGATCTGCCTCTATCCCTCTCCTCTTCTGCCGGTGGGGGATGGGTAGGAATCTCTTGCCTGCTCTGGGCTGCCATGATGCCCAGGACTGTGCCAGGTTCCTGCCTTCTCAGGGTGCCTAGTGGTAGCCTCACTCAGTGGATCTGAGTGGGCGCATTCTTACTTGTGGGACAGTTGTTCCCACTCCTCTGCTGGTCCTTGGGGCCTGGGCTCCCGTTGTAGCCACCTCTGAGCGGAGAGCAGTTCTAGTGCCCGTTTCCATGAGGGCGCTGGGGCCTCCTTTCTGGCCTCCTCGGGCAGCCTTTCCGCCTACAAGGAGCGCCGAGCCTGGACCCAAAGGTTCAGATGCTCTAAGTGGTACACCCCACTGGCTTGGACCCAGCCTGGAGCTATCTCTGGGGCCCTGGCATCCATCTTTCCTCACAGTTGAACAGGGATGTGTGCGTTTGGAGTTATTTCAGCACTTCATCCCCCTTCCCTCCTCTGTGACTCACATTTTCCTCTTGGGCTCCTGGGGCCAGGAAGGGAAGTTGCCTGATTTACCCCCCCCATCCCTGTCCTTCTCCCCTGCTGGGGGGCTATTCTTAGAATCCCCTAGGGGAATAGTATATACGCCCCCTTCAGCCCCTGCTGCTGGGAGGGGGAGCAGCGTTCAGGGCCTTGGGAGCTGAACTAGGAAGGGGAGGCCAGTCTTCCAGGCCAGAGCGAGTGTGTCCAGGGAAAATGTCTTTCCCAGGAGGAAATTGAGGTCCCAAGGATTAGATGGCCTGTCTAAGCCTCACGGTGCTATTCCAGTGCAGGGTAGTGCTCCGATCACCTGGCTCCCAGCTGGCGCTTCTGCCTTGCTTGTTCGCGATCCAACGCTGACCTGGGGCCACAAGTGCCAGGTTAACCTCTGAGTTTCCAGAAAACCCTCCAGCCAGTGCAAATGATTAACAAAAGGAGGCTAAATATTCCTAAGGTGGGAGCCTTGGCAGGGCCAAACGCCAGGTCTTACACCTTGGGAGTGGTGATGAGGTAGCCAGGCATGGAGAGACCCCCATCTCTCACTAGGGGCCGTAGAACTGATGGTTCCCAGGCAGGCTTCCGAGGCTGCATCTGAACAGCTGGAGGCCACGGGACTCTGGGAAGCCTGGATTACACTTGGAAGTATCAGGGTGTAGGCCTTGAGCTCTGACTAGACAGGGTTCAGGTCTCAAGTCAGCTACTGTCAACTGTGACCTTGAGCAAGTCCCTGAGTTCCTGTGAGTCCGTTACCTGCAAAAACGGATGCCGCCACCCATTTCACAGTTGAGATACATTAGTATATAGAGGAGAGCTGTAGAATGCAGGTGCTTTGTAGAAAGCCAGCAAACTAACCACTAATCACAGTCATAATAGTAATTACCGCTACTGTGTCAGGCAAGGAGGAACTTGAGATCTTCTGTTCCCTTTCTTTGGATTATAAATAAGCAAGCAGAAGCCTAGGGAGAGGAGGCGGCTTGTCCCGGGTCACTCGCGGAAGAGTGCTGCCGCATAGCAGAACCACATACAGAAGGAACAGCATTTGTCTTTGGTCTCACAGGATGCTAGGGCCTGGCCCCGGTTGGTGCTTGTGCTGCCCCAAACTGTGATGAGCTCTGGCTGGTGGTTATGGAGTGATCTGGGCGAGGGGCTGGCCTCTGGCGTCCTGTGGGGGTGTGTGGGAGATGTATGCCAGGTTATAGGACCCAAAAGGAGCTGTGGCAGAGAGAGCCTGGCTGACTCTGTGCGAGCATGCACATGTGTGTGAGGGAGATGGAGGGACTGACTCGCCTGCCCCTGCCGCCCTCCTGCAGCTCGGTGCCAACGTGCTGCTGTTCCTCTGTACCAACGTGATTGGCATCTGCACTCACTACCCAGCTGAGGTGTCCCAGCGCCAGGCTTTCCAGGAGACCCGCGGCTACATTCAGGCCCGGCTGCACTTACAGCACGAGAACCGGCAGCAGGTGAGCGCTGCTTCCCGGGCAGGAGGATGTGCTGCTGTGGACCACTCTGCGGAACAGTGTGACTGGTTCCCCCTGGACCGTGGGTCCCGTCCTGTTGGACAGTGGGAACACTGCATTAGCGGGTGGTGAGACAGGGTTGAGCTGTGTGCGCGCCCAGCATCAACAGTCAGGTTGAGGTCCAGAAGCAAGCTGTGGTCTCTAGAGAGTTCTGGAAAGATTGTGGGCATGTGGAGGGACCAAGAGGGATGGGAACAGGAGGCTGGGAGAACAGCGGTGCCTGTTGGGACCACTGGTCTAGGAGCGACTGCTGCTGTCGGTGTTGCCTCAACACGTTGCCATGGAGATGAAAGAAGACATCAACACAAAGAAAGAAGACATGATGTTCCATAAGATCTACATCCAAAAGCACGACAATGTCAGGTAGGGTGGGAGCTGGTTGCGGGGAGGAGGTGTGACGGAGGGGGCGGTGTGGTGGAGGAGGGGATGGCCTGGGAGTTACGGAGGGCCGCGTGGGCCATATACATCCTCTGCTGTCACCCACAGCATCCTGTTTGCAGACATTGAGGGCTTCACCAGTCTGGCATCCCAGTGTACTGCGCAGGAACTGGTCATGACCTTGAACGAGCTCTTTGCCCGGTTTGACAAACTGGCCGCGGTGAGGGTGCTGGGGCTTGGGTGCGCTGCTGACTTGGGCGGGTGGTGGCAGCCTGAGCACGTGGGGGGCACGGAGGGAGTCTGCAGGGAGTCAAGACGACCCTGCCCTCCAACTCCTGTCCCTTTAGGAGAACCACTGCCTGAGGATCAAGATCCTAGGGGACTGTTACTACTGCGTGTCAGGGCTGCCGGAGGCCCGCGCAGACCACGCCCACTGCTGTGTGGAGATGGGCGTGGACATGATCGAGGCCATCTCGTAAGTAATGTCTCACTCCTGGGCGTCCTCGCACTGTGGGAGAAGCCCCAGGGCAGTGCTGGAGGCTGTGCAAAGGCCGGTGGGCAGGAGTAGACTCGGGGCAACCTGCACTGGTGTGTGGGGGACCAGGGCTGGTGGTGAGAATAGCGATGCCCCCCTTGGGGCTGAGTTCCACAAGACGCTGCAGGGCCCTTGCTGGGGAGCAGGCTCTCAGGCATGACTGTGAACCCCACCTCACCCACGTCCGGCCGAAGCTGGGCTCGTGTCCCCTATGTCTGGGGCCGTCATTGCGCACTGAGCTTTGGGCTAGGGGAGGGCAAGGCTGTGCTGAGAGCTGATCTGGACCCGTGTTTCCCCTAGGCTAGTGCGTGAGGTGACCGGCGTGAACGTGAACATGCGTGTGGGCATCCACAGCGGGCGTGTGCACTGCGGTGTTCTTGGCCTGCGGAAATGGCAGTTCGATGTGTGGTCCAATGACGTGACCCTGGCCAACCACATGGAGGCCGGGGGTCGGGCAGGGTGAGTGGAGGGCTTCAGGCAGTGGGGAGTGGGGAGCAAGGTTAGCAACATCACTGAGCCTCGCCTTGCTGCTCCCCCACCGCGCAGCCGCATCCATATCACTCGGGCTACACTGCAGTACCTGAATGGAGACTACGAGGTGGAGCCAGGCCGCGGTGGTGAGCGGAACGCATACCTTAAGGAGCAGCACATCGAGACCTTCCTCATCCTGGGTGCCAGCCAGAAACGAGTGAGGGCCGGGGCAGGGCCGGGGCAGAGTTGGCCGCAGAGGGAGGCCCAAGGGCTGGGGCAGGGGAGGCCTCAGAGGGAGGCCCAAGAGCCGGGACAAGGCTGGCTGCAGAGGGAGGCCCAAGGGCCAGGGCAGAGTTGGCCGCAGAGGGAGGCCCAAGGGCTGGGGCAGGGGAGGCCCAAAGGCCAGGGCAGGGCCGGCCACAGAGGGAGGCCCAAGGGCCTGGGCAGGGGAGGCCGCAGAGGGAGGCCCAAGGGCCGGGGCAAGGGAGGCCGCAGAGGGAGGCCCAAGGGCCAGGGCAAGGGAGGCCGCAGAGGGAGGCCTAGGCCAAGGCCTCAGTGGGCCCCCATAGGGCTGATGCTACCCTTGTCCACAGAAAGAGGAGAAGGCCATGCTGGCCAAGCTGCAGCGGACACGAGCCAACTCCATGGAAGGTCTGGTGCCACGCTGGGTGCCTGACCGTGCCTTCTCCCGCACCAAGGACTCCAAGGCTTTCCGGCAGATGGTGAGGGGTGCTCCTTAGCACATACATGCTCTCTGGTCCTGGGGCTAGGGAGGGGCTTGCAGGGTGCGGAGCATCTGGTGGCATACTCTTTAGCATGGTGTTGGGATGAGGAAGGAAGGGCTTGATCTTTCACCTCATCTGTATACTGTGTTCTTCTCCAGGGCATCGATGATTCCAGCAAAGACAAGTAAGTCAGGCGCCTGCAGGGGGTGAAGGAAATGTCCATGGGCTGAAGGGGGCTGAGATTCCCCTGTCTCCTGGACCTTAGAAGTGTTGTGTGGGCGTTTCCTGTTGCCCCTCACATGGGCCCCCTGCCCTTAGCCGGGGCACTCAGGATGCCCTGAACCCTGAAGACGAGGTAGATGAGTTCCTGGGCCGAGCCATCGATGCTCGCAGCATTGACCAGCTACGCAAGGACCATGTGCGCCGGCTGCTGCTCACCTTCCAGAGAGAGGATCTGGAGAGGAAGGTTTGGGGAACGCAAGGGCAGAAGGGCAAGGGCCGGGGAGGGCAAGGCTGGGGAGGGCGAGGGCTGGGGAGGGCAGGGACTGGCAGGGACTGGCAGGGACGGCCAGCCACAGGCGAGGGAGCAGGGGAAGCTTTTGGGGACCGGGGAGTGTCAGCCTGTACTCGGCTCAGCCTCTTCTCCCATACCCTCAGTACTCACGGAAGGTGGACCCCCGCTTTGGAGCCTACGTCACCTGTGCCCTGCTGGTCTTCTGCTTCATTTGCTTCACCCAGCTCCTCGTCTTCCCACGGTGAGAACCCCGGCCCTCCTTCCCATCTCCCTAAACACAGCCGCAGGAGCCCGCTGTCCCCAGGTCTGCTCCGGGGCTGGGACAAGGGTGCTCTGAGCCCTGAGTCACTGCTGCCCTGGGCCTGTTCTGCCCCAGCTCATCCCTGGTGCTCGGGATCTATGCCAGTATCTTCCTGTTGCTGCTCATCGCTGTGTTCATCTGTGCCAGCCACACCTGTGGTTCTGTACGTCCAGGGATGGGGGGAAGAGCTTCTTGGCCTGGTGGGGGTGCAGGGAAGGATGGAGGGAGGGAGGGAGGGAGAAGCCAGCCCTTGCCACCTCTCCTTGGCTTTCCTCCCTGGCTCACTGACTTCCACACCTCCATGTCTTGCTGTCCCCAGCGGTTCCCTGAGGGGCTGCAGCGCCTTAGCCGGAGCATCGTCCGGTCGCGGGCGCACAGCACGGCAGTTGGCATCGCTTCCGTCCTGCTTGTGTTCACCTCTGCCATCACCAACATGGTGAGGATCCCGTGGGCACTGTCCTGCCTGGGCGTGTGCTGTGCCTTCAGGGTGCCTGCTCTCCCGGACAGGGTGGGGTCAGCTCCAGTTCTCCCTGAGTGAGAACTTTGTCCTCTGGGGTATCTGGCACCTGGGCACGGCTCCTGGGGCCCTCCCCTCCCTGCCCCGGTTACCCTGATAGACTTGTTGTGTTTAAAGTTCATCTGTAGCCACACCCCCATACGGACGTGCGCAGCCCGGATGCTGAATTTAACACCATCCGACATCACTGCCTGCCACCTGCAGCAGCTCAATTATACTCTGGGCCTGGATGCTCCCCTGTGTGAGGGCACGGCACCCACCTGCAGCTTCCCAGAGGTACCTTAGCAGTGTTTAGGCAGGGCCAGGGTGGGAGAGGATGACCTGGCACACGTATAGGCCCATCTGTGCCAGTCCTGTTGGTGGACACGGGTGGCCCAGTGCTCTGACCCGAGCAGAACCAGGGGTCCTGGTGTGGTGTGGGGCTAGGTGCACAGATCCCGGGCTCCTGTGTCTCGAGGAGCTGTGGCCTCTGTCCTCACCCAGTGCTGTCTCTGCTGTTGTTGCCCACCCCAGTACTTCGTTGGGAACGTGCTGCTGAGTCTCTTGGCCAGCTCTGTTTTCCTGCACATCAGCAGCATTGGGAAGCTAGCCATGATCTTTATCTTGGGGCTCATCTATTTGGTGCTGCTTCTTCTGGGTCCCCCAGCTACCATCTTCGACAACTATGACCTGCTGCTTGGCGTTCATGGCTTGTGAGTTGATCCCCGGCCCCTTTAACACTCCAGGAATGTCCCTGCTTCTCCTGGGTCACGGTGGGCCTCCTGGTAGCCTCAGAATGCTGCCACTCCTTTGTGGAAGGGAGGGAAGTGATGTAGAGCTCGCAGAGACAGGGAAATCCCAGCCTCTTTATGTTGGACATTTAAAAAAAAAAATGCCTTGTGGCATTTGCACGGTGCTTCTCTCTGCACTGTGTTAGCCGGATGCAGGTCACGCAGCTACTCAGCAGCAGTGGCTCACACCAGAACCTTGACCCTTGTGAGGTCTAGGATACCACCCTGTCATGTGTGGGTGTGGCTTAGTGTGATAGTCAGGAAGCCTCTGCAGCTGGGCTGGGGTTTGAATCCCTGCTCTGGCAGTCATTAGCCGTGTCACTGCACGGGTGAGAGACAGTTAGCTTCCCTGACCCTCGGCTTCCTCATCTGCAGACGTGTTCTTGGTTGTTGCTCTTCTAGTTAATACATGTGCGAGTCCCAACCCAATACGTGACTTAACTGGTGTGTGGCCAGTAATGCAGTCTGCCTCCCCTTCCATGTCCCCGCGTTCTTCCCTTTCCTCTGCCCCCGGTGAGCACCGGTAACTTTTGTCTTTTCTGCCTTTCTGCCAGGGCCGCCTCTAATGAGACCTTTGATGGGCTGGACTGGTAAGTGAGGGCTCTGAGGCAGCGAATGGTAGGGCTGCCGGCTGCCTGCTTCAGACACCAAGCAAGCCTCTGCTCACCCTCAGCCCAGCCGCAGGGAGGGTGGCCCTCAAATATATGACCCCTGTGATCCTGCTGGTGTTTGCGCTGGCCCTGTATCTGCACGCCCAGCAGGTGGAGTCAACAGCCCGCCTGGACTTCCTCTGGAAACTGCAGGTGACTGGGTGGGCCTCCGGGGCGGGCGGGGGCGGGGGTGGGCAAGGCAGAGATGTGGGGCAGAGCCCCAGCCAAGCCAGAAATGCAGTGTGCCTCCGGTCCCTTCCCTTGCCTCGTCCTGTGCTTGCCCCCTCTGCCTGTCCCTTAGGCCGTGCCTGTCTGTGCCTTTCTTCCTGCACATGGTTCCCTCAGATGCTCGTCTCCAGGTGTCGGAGTGACGGGCAGTGGGTGACAGGTGTGGTGTCTGCAGGCAACAGGAGAGAAGGAAGAGATGGAGGAACTGCAGGCATATAACAGGCGGCTGCTGCATAACATTCTCCCCAAGGATGTGGCCGCCCACTTCCTGGCCAGGGAACGCCGCAACGACGAGCTCTACTACCAGTCCTGTGAGTGTGTGGCCGTCATGTTCGCCTCCATCGCCAACTTCTCCGAGTTCTATGTGGAGCTCGAGGCCAACAATGAGGGTGTCGAGTGCCTGCGACTGCTCAACGAGATCATCGCTGACTTCGATGAGGTGCGGGTCCGGCTGGCCGATGCTGGGCGAGTGGCGGGACTGCCAGAGCAGAGGGCTTTGGAGCAGGAGGTCAGGACTGGAGGGGTTGGGTGGTGCTAGGTGGGGAAAGGCAGGTTGAAAGGGACAGGGACCCCAGGAAAGTTAGCAGCACTCCGGCTTCCAGAACAACAAAGACACGAGGGACTTTGGGCCAGGGGAGGGGAGGGTCAGCATTTGTACCAGTGGAGAGCCCAGGGAAGCCGAGCAAGCAGAATGGCCCCCTGAGCAGAGAAAAGATTTGGCAGCAAAATGTGAGGACCCGTCCCGAGCGATGCTATTGGGGCCGGAGGGAAGCCCGCCTGCTCAGCAAGGAACTCATTCCCAACGGTGAGGGCTGGGCAAATAGATTCTTAGCCTCTGGCCTGTAATCCCACCTGGGAGGGAGCTGCTGAGGCCGTGCCTAAATCCTGCAGGCAGCTGCCGGCCTGCGGGGACTCCCTCACTGAGGGTTGGGCAGCTGGGAGACAGGTGCAGGGCCAGGCGTGAGCGTGGGGCTGGACCGTGACACCCAGGACCCTGTGTCGTCCAGATCATCAGCGAGGAGCAGTTCAGACAGCTGGAGAAGATCAAGACCATAGGCAGCACGTACATGGCGGCCTCAGGGCTGAACGCCAGCACGTATGACCGGGTGGGCCGCTCCCACGTCACAGCCCTCGCTGACTACGCCATGCGGCTCATGGAGCAGATGAAGCACATCAATGAGCATTCCTTCAACAACTTCCAGATGAAGATCGGTGAGGGGGACCTGGTTGCTAGGCAGGGTTCCCGGCAGGGCTCCTTCCATCCCAAGTCTGGTATATCGAGGGCCTGCTATGTGCTAGGCACGGTCTGGGGGCATCCTGGAGCATATTTTAATCCTCTGGTTAGTATCTCCTTTTGTAGATATTGATCGACTCTAAAGATATGAAATAACATCTCCTCCATGTAACAACTAGAACGTGTTATGTAAAGCCTGATATGGAAAGCCGGGTTTAGCTAAACTCCGTTGTCTCAGTCCTTGACTGTGGCCAGAGAATCCGGTGGATGGCAGTGATTCATAGTATGGCTTCTGGTTTGAGTTGTGACTGCTTTTTGAGTAAGCCGTCTCATGGCCCTAAACTTTAGTTCCCTCACTTATACCGTGGGGATGGCAGTGCCCACGCTTGGGGGAGGATGAAGTGGCACAGAGCCGCTGTGGCTGTCTTGCCTCGGGGAGCTCGCCCACTGCCCTGCTGGGTGTCCTTCCTGACCACAGGAGTCAGGCCTTTCCACTTTCTCCGCAGGGTCCTTCTGGAGGTCCTATGAAGTGGGCTTACTTGCTGGCTTGACCCTAAAGTGTCTGGTAGTCTCAGCCTCTTGTTGTCCTCCCCACCTCAGGGCTGAACATGGGCCCGGTTGTGGCAGGTGTCATTGGGGCCCGGAAGCCGCAGTATGACATCTGGGGGAACACGGTGAATGTCTCCAGCCGTATGGACAGCACAGGCGTCCCTGACCGCATCCAGGTGAGGGGGTCATAGTGGTATCTGGGTGGGGCCTGGGTCCAGAGAGCTTCCACGTGTCTCTCTCTCTACAGGCCACTAAAATGGGGTAGGGTGGCAGTGTTGTGGTTGGTGGGTAGGCACTGGGAAAGGGAATCTAGCCCGACTGAGAGTGCCCTGGGCCCCTGCAAGTACAGCAGGAAGGATTCCGGGCTAAGCAGCCTCCCCTCCCACTCCCCCAGGTGACCACGGACCTGTACCAGGTTCTAGCTGCCAAGGGCTACCAGCTGGAATGTCGAGGGGTGGTCAAGGTGAAGGGCAAGGGGGAGATGACCACCTACTTCCTCAATGGGGGCCCTAGCAGTTAGCAGGGCCCAGCTACAAATGCAGCTGACAGGACCAAGGTGGGCATTGAGTGAACTCTGTGCTCGCTGGGAGGAGCTGTGGGGAGCGGGGGGCGCTGAGCCTCCAGATCCTATGGACTGCAAAGGGTGCTCCCCAGCAGGCTGGGCTCGGTCCCCGCTTGTCTGCCTGGGGCTGGCAAACTGGGGGCCACCAAGAGGATCACGCAAGTGACTTTTTAAAACCGGGGTAGGGCTGTTCCCTCTCCCCTCCCAGCTTCTGGAGACAGGAGGTGGGGTGCGGCAGCAGAGGGTGGCAGGAGGGGTTCTACTGCCTGAGAGGTTGGGGTGACAGCCTGCCGTGCCTACCCTTCCCCTGACTGGGCAAACAGGGCTGAGCCTTTCCTGTTCCCTCTCTTTCCTGGGAGTATTTTTCACGGAGACTGACGCCGGCCTGAGGAGTGCCTAGTCTCTGCTTGCCTGTGGTGTGCCTGCGTTCCCAGCGCTGCGGCCTCTGCTGCAGCCAGGTCTCCCTCCATCAGCACAGGACAGAGGAGAAAGATGCTCTAGGGGCCCAGCTCTGTCCACATGTCAGGAGGATGTTTCCATTTGCCAAATCCTAGTCCCCATGGTCTGTCCCCAAAGGGACATGTGACAGCTCAGATTTAACCCTGGTCCCTGCCTGCTCCAGGGAATAGTGGGGTTGGCCTCACTGGTACTGTGAAAATGCCCTAGCAGAGAGTGGTCTTGGTTGTGGGGATGTTAGGAGCTGGGTGTTTCCCCGCCAGGTGCCGAGGAGCAGGTTGCCAGGGCAGTGCCAGAGGCTGATCCAAGACCCTAGCATGGTCGTGATCAGCTGATTGACCCTGTGCTTGCTTGCTGTCTGCTGGAAGCAGGGCACGAGTGTCTGTACCCCTTCACTTGCCAGTTAGAAGAGGGTCAAGGCTAGGAGGGAGATGACCCTGACCTTCAGCTTGTCCTTCAACTCCCTGGCCCTGGGGAGGGTGTGTGAATGTGTGTGTGTGTATGTGCGCGTGTGTTGCTCTTGGCGTGCAATTCTATTTTCCAGGTCTGTGTGTGTGCCTGGCTCCTGCTCCTCAAATCTCTTACTCCGAGTTGCCTCTCTCCTGTGGGCTTCTGTCTTCTAGGAATAAGGCAGGGTTTCCTGTTTCACAGGGTGTCGGGAGGGGCCCAAGTTGCATAGGATCGGCATGGGGTATGGCAGTGAGAGGAGGGTGGCCTGGGAGAGAAGCCCTTTTTGTGCCAAATCCCTAAGTGCCGTTTGGGGACCACATTGTAGAGCTTGACTGTCTCCCTGCCTGGGCTAGGGACCCAAGCTCCTGCTTGAGCCTCAGGGTTCCATGGACATCAGCTGGCCGGGTTCTGGTGGACAGGCTCGAGACTCTGCTTGGGTTTCCCAAGCTTCCGTCCTGGGATGTGGTGTGCTTTCAGACCGGGGGAAATATGGAAGCGCTCTGAAGACTCAGTACTGGTACTAAGGGGTGGGTGCTGGGGAGGCTCCCCTAGGCCTTCGACTGGCTCCTGCACGCGTGTGCTGCCTCCGTTCCACCCAGCCTGCTGGGGATGGCTTAGAAACTTGACTCCAGCTTTTCTTCCAATTCTTGCCTGCTTTTCCCTACTCCTTTCCCTATAACCTCCTTGACTCGGGCCTGACTTAGTTGGTGTCTTGGCTTCTCTGCTTCTCTGTCCACCCACCGAAGCCAGAGACATTGGCCTGTGTTTTGCTGGAAGGGGCTAGAGAACAGCGAATCAAGGGCCCCTGGAGTTAGAGGGCTCGAGAGAGTGGAGGGCGCCCTTGCTTTCCTCATGCTTTTCCGACCCCAGCTCCCCGCAGGCACCTGCTTTATGCCTTGGTACCGTCTGCCATGGAGGTTCCCCAGGCCTTAGCTAAGTGGGCCGTTAGGCACTTCATTGGCCAAGGCAGAAGGAGGGGGAAAAGCTAGCTGATCCAAACACAATGCCCAGTTCCCTTCTCCAAGCCATATCTGTGGATTGAGGGGCTGCTTGGGGTCTTGGTGTGGACGTGAGGGCATCAGCAAAGCGGAGTGGGAAAGCCTCAGCCTCGGGTGGCTTGTCGCTGCTTCTTGCCAGGTGGGAGGGCCCTGTCCACATCCCGGGCCCCCATGCCACAGTGCCAGCCGTGCCCTTCCTCCGGGCCACCAATGCTCCTTTCCTTACCGGTTGGTGGAGGAGTGAGGGGATGGGAGGCCATGGGCTTGGGTTTATAATGTAACCACTGTGGGAACCAGGGAGGGTGGTATACCATGTATTTCAGTGAAATATTTAATATATTTAAATATCAATAAAATCAAATTATTTGTAAAAAGTCCCTGTTCTTTGGAGCTGTTCTGGGCCCGGGGTTGGGTCAGGAGTGACGGAAGCTGAAGGCAACCTTCCGTTCTGAACATCTGTGGGCCTCTCTCTCCGGTGATCAGAGAGGACTTCCTGGAGCCTTTGCTCTGCCCAGGGGGAAGCTGCAGTGTCTTCAGAGCATGGCTGATCTGGGTCGCGAGGGGCAGTGTGTGTCGTACCTCTGCCAAGACCCGTGCGGTTGCCTTTCCAGTGCATTCGCCCCTCCCAAAGCTCTCATTCCAGGATCCGGCTTCCGTAGACTCTCACCCCGCTGCTCTCCCAGCAGTTCCGAGGTACTGGAATAGCCCTCCCTCTCTGCCGCCCATGCAACCAAGCGAGTTGGAAGTCCAGTCTGTTTACTGTTCTTTCTGAAACCCCTCCCATTAGTCATCGTCTACATTGGGACCTCTCTCCCTGCTTGGCACCCCACTCCTTCCGCAGTCCACCTTGTCCTGCTGCAACCGTATCCTTAATACAGACTGAAGGTTCTGTCGTTGAGAATAGAGTGATCCATAAACCTAGAAAGGAGAGAGGGGGTGTTGGATTCAGCCAGGCCAGGCTAGAGGCGAGGAGGATGTCAGTCGGACAATGAGGTAGGGCCACTGCCCCTGGGCCTTGGTTGCAGGAGTGAGAGGTGGCAACGAGGGAGTTTGAGATTGCTGGGCTGCCGCAGGAGTCCTGTTCTTGGGCCCACTCTGAAGTCCTTGGTGCGTGAGAAACTCAGCTCCTGGGGGTCACCTTTGCCTGGTGAGACCCTAGCCCCTCCTCCTGCCACTCAGCAGAGGACACAGCCCAGGAATTTCAGTGAGGGGGAGGGACACTTGGCTTTGGTCTCCCCACCCTGACCCTTTCCGGTCTGACCTGGTCATTGGGCTCTTAATGAGACAGTGGCATGGGCTCCGAATCCACGGCATAGTTTCCTCTGGGCGCACTCCTGGGTCCTGGGACCGCCAGAAACTGAAGTTCTGCGCGTCAGTCAGTGGGACTCGGAAGACCTGATTGGGGACTGAAAGTTGGGGGGGGCGGGAAGGGCAGGTTTTCAGATGCCTCCAGGTCCTCAGTGCAGCACAGCCCAGCCCAGCAGCCGAGCCTGACTGGGTGCTGGGAGGTGCTTCTTGACTTCCAGATTCTAGTATCTCAAACCCTTCATGCTCAGCTGAATCACTGTTGGTTCTTCTTGCTCTCTCGTAAGTCCATGTCAGAGAGAATCTTCCCCAGCTGCTTCATGATAAAAACAAAACAAAACAAAAAAACCCAAAGCAAAACAAAAGAAATGAGTGGTAAAACCCATTTGGGAAGTGTGAACTGATGCATTCGTTTTCTCCTTTTCTAAACTCCTCTGGCTGCTTCCCTTGCCTCCTCTTGGAAGTAACGCGTTCCTCTGCTCACTCTGGGCAAGTCTCTGAGATCTAAGGGTACTGCTACCGCACATCCAGACGGTGCAAATACACGCTGTTCACCAAGTGCCTGGCATGTCCTCCATACAGTAGCAAGTGTTGTTCTTTTCAAATTTTGAAATAATAGCAGATTTAACTAGATTTCTTAAAAATATTTTCTTGGGTCCTGGTATGATGGCTCAGTTGGCGAATCCTCCCGCTTGCAAGCACCAGGAACCCATATAGGCACCAGTTCATGTCCCAGTTACTCCACTTCCCATCTAACTCCCTGCTTAGGACCTGGGAAGGCAGTGGAGGACGGCCCAAAGCCTGGGGACATGTGGGAGACCTGGAAGAAGCTCCTGGCTCCTGGCTTCGGATTGGTTCAGTTCTGGCTGTTGTGGCCGCTAGGGGAGCAAACCAGCAGATAGAAAATCTCTCTCTTTTTTTTCCTGTTTCTCCTTCTCTCTGTAAATCTGCCTTTCTAATAAAAATAAATAAATTTTTTTAAAATTCATCTATTTTTCATTATTTGGGTAAATTAATTATACTAGCATAATACATTTTAATTTAAAGCATTTATTTATTTGAAAGGTTCACTGTCCCAATGCCCAAAGCATTTAGGGAAGGACCAGTTGAAGCCAGGAGCCAGGCCTGCCAGCCAGGCCGCCCAGGTGCAGTAACAGAGACGCAGGTACTGGGGCCGTCTCCCATTGCCTTCTCACGTGCAGTACCAGGGAGCTGGGCTGGCTGTGCAGTAGAGGAGCTGGAACTTGGAGTATTCCCACTGTGTCATAAGGCCCACTCCCAAATTGGTGTTTATTTTTCATTTATGAGAGAGGGAAGGTAGGAGAGTCGAATTCTGTCCCAAAAGCCCGTAGCAGCAGGGGCTGGTCGCTGTGTCCCAGTCTCCCATCGGAGTGGCAGGGGCCCAGCGCTGGAGCCATTCCTGTGCGGCGTCTGCGCAGGAAGCTGGGCTAAGTGTGGAACGGAGACTTGAATCCAGGCACTCGTGTTGGATACAGGCATCCCAGCTGGTGTCCCTACTACAAAATACCTTCCCCTAGATATTTTTTTAAATGTAGAGAATTATCATTTCATATTCCAGTTAGCTATCTGGTCCTTATAAACCATTTTTTTTTTTTAAAAATCCCCAATTATTTAATAAATGTTATTTTTTTTTACTGAGTTGTTTTTAGACTAATAATAAACTTTTAAAATAATTTATTATTGGGGCTAGTGTCATAGAGTCTCCACCTCCGTCTCATATAGGCACTGGCTCATGTCCTGGCTGCTCCAAGTGCTGACCCAGCTCTCTGATTATGGCCTGGGAAAGTGGAGGAGTATGGCTGAAGTCCTTGGGCCCCTTCACTCATGGAAGACTTCAGAGGAAACTCTGCTCCTGGCTTCAGATCAGCTCAATTCCAGCTGTTGTGGCTATGCGGGTAGTGAATCAACAGATGGAAGATCTCTTTTCCTGTCCTCCTCTCTCTGACCCTGTTTTCAAATCAAAACAAAATAAATCACTGAAATAAAAATGTTAAAAAGTAGAGTGTTATTTACTTGAAAGGCAGAGTTACAGAGAGGTGGAAATCTTCCGTATGCCAGTTGGCTCTCTGAATGGCCGCAGTGGCTGGAGCTGGGCCAGGCACAAGTCGGGAGCCAAGCTCCATCTGGGTCTCTCATGAGCCTGCAGGGGGCGGGATGCTGCTGTGTCAGGTACTGTAGCAGGGGAGGCATCAGAAGTGGGACAGCCATGATCCACACCTGCACTCGTGAGAGGCCATTGTTGCAGCTCACAGCTTAACCTGATGTGCTGCAATGCCAGCCTGTAACAATGAACTTGAAGTTTGCTTTTAGAAATAATTCAGGGTCACAGTACAACGGCTCAGTGGCTAAATCCTTCACCTTGCAAACACTGGGATCCCATAAGGGTGCCTGCCGGTGTATGTCCCAGCTGCTCCACTTCCCATCCAGCTCATTGCCTGTGGCCTGGGAAAGCAGTCGAGGACGGCCCAAAGCCTTGGGACCCTGCACCCGTGTGGGAGACCCAGAGGAAACTCCTGGCTCCTGGCTTCAGATCAGCTCAGCTCAGCTCCGGCTGTAGCCACTTGGGCAGTGAACCAGTGGATGGAAGATCTTTCTATTTGTTTCTCCTTCTTTCTGTATATCTGTCTTTCCAATAAAAAAAAAAATTAAAAATTTTAATCGGGGGCTGGAGTTGTGGTGCAGGGGGCTCAGCGAGGCTCCCCCCATCTCATGTGTTCCAGTCTCAGTTGCTGGACTTTCACTCGAACTCCCTGCACCTGGGAAGGCAGTGAGGGTGGCCCAGATGCTCGGGACCCTGCCACCCATGAGAGATTTCCCAAGGGAATTCCTGACTCCTGGTTATTTGAGGGTGAACGAGTAGATGGAAGAGTGATTCTTCTGTCTTCCCCCGCCCCCTCTAACTCTGCCTTTCAAGTACATTTTTAAATTTAGTTTGGAGAGAATTACAGATTCAAGTACGGTTACCAAAAAACATACAGAGAGATCCTTCTGTAGCCACTCCTGTCATTGGCGTTATCTTGGAGAACTTCAAGACCCAATACCACAACTAGGATGCTGACACTTCTGCGGTCTAGAGTTGCCACTTCACAACCGTGCCACCTAACTCGCTGTCAGTTAGCCAGCATTTTTATGTAGTTTAATTATTTATTTATTTATTTATTTATATTGGAAAGTCAGATAGAGAGGAAGATATTCTGTCGGATGATTTACTCCCCAAGTGGCCACAACAGCTGGATCTGAGCTGATCAGGAGCCAGGAGCTTCTTCCAGGTCTCCCATGCGGGTGCTTTGGGCCATCCTCAACTGCTTTCCCAGGCCACAAGCAGGAAGCTGGATGGGAAGCAGAGCAGCTGGGATTAGAACCGGCGCCCATATGGGATTTGAACACTTGTAAACAGATTTCCCCAATTGAGCCATCCCACCAGGTCCTGTGCTTTTATTTATTTATTTTTAAAGATTTATTTATTTTATTGGAAATGCAGATGTACAGAGAGGAGGAGAGACAGAGAGGAAGATCTTCTGTCTGATCATTCACTCCCCAAGTGGCCGCAATGGCCGATACTGCGCCAATCCAAAGCCAGGAGCCAGGAACTTCTTCCGGGTCTCCCACATGGGTACAGAGTCCCAAGGGCTGTCCTCGACTGCTTTCCCAGGCCACAAGCAGGGAGCTGGATGGGAAGTGGAGCTGCCTGGACTGGCACCCATATGGGATCCCGGCGTGTTCAAGGCGAGTACCTTAACCGTTACGCTATCGCGCTGGGCCCCTGTGTTTTATTTTTAAACAAGAAAAAAAGGGCCTGGCGTGGTGGCCTAGCGGCTAAGGTCCTCACCTTGAATGCTCTGGGATCCCATATGGGCACCAGTTCTAATCCCAGCTGCTCTACTTCCCATCCAGCTCCCTGCTTGTGGCCTGGGAAAGCAGTTGAGGATGGCCCAAAGCCTTGGGACCCTGCACCCATGTGGGAGACCTGGAAGAAGCTCCTGGCTCCTGGCTTTAGATCGGCTCAGCTGGAGCCACTGAAGTCACTTGGGGAGTGAATCATCAGATGGAAGATTTTCTTCTCTGTCTCTCCTCTCTGTATATCTGAGTTTGCAATAAAAATAAATCTTAAAAAAAAAAGCAGAAAAAGAAAAAAAAAAAAGGGCAGAGAAGGAGTGCCATCTGCTGATTGACTCCCCACATGCCTGCAACACCTGGGGCATTTTTTGAAGCCAGGAGCCAGGCTTACGAGCAGGATATTGGATTGGAATTAGCGTGGGTCATACTTGAACCTGCACTCCTATTAAGCATTGCAACTTCCTCTTCTTCGGGACTGTCTTTCTTCACTTAGCATAATTCCCTGGGATACAAGTTAGCTTGTATCAGGAGCTTGTCCTAGATGCTTTGAGAAAGAGTGCAAAGCAGAGAGCTCGCAGGCACTGGTTCAGTCGCCGGCTGGGACTGGAGCCAGGAGCTGAGAGTTCACTGCAGGTCCCCGCAGTGTGGACAGGAGGTGAATCCCTGGACCTGGACCATCTCCACTGCTGCCCAGCGCCTGCATCAGAGTCCATCTGCAGGCAGAAGCCACGTGCTGGTTTGCAACCCAGGCACTTAAGCACCAGACCGCCTGGCTACCCCCAGATTTTTTTTTTAAAAGATGCATTTATTTATTTGAAAGGCAGAGTTACACACACAGAGAGAAAGAGAAAGAGAGAGGTCTTCTGCCTGCTGATCTACCATGGCCACAGTGGCCAGAATTGGGCCCAGCGGAAGCAGGAGGCTGAGGTTCTGTCTCATCTCCCACATGTGCGGCAGGAGCCCAGACACATGGGTCATTTCCCACTGCTTTCCCACACTCCAGTAGTGAGCTGGATGGGAAGTGGAACAGCTGAGACTCAAATGGGTGCTTCGTATGGGATGCCAGTCACCAGCCCCAGAGGTTTTCCTTGAAGTATACATTCTCTCTAACTTTACAACAATGCTTAAGGATATTATTCCCGTTTCAGATGGCAAAGTGGCTAAAGGAATTCAGCTAAGGCTGAACATCTTTGTGGAATTTAAACTGTACACATGCCAAAGTTGGTGCTGATCAATACAAAGTTGTGTCTTGAATTTGTTTCGGTTTTGGTTTGATCCCCAACAGTTCTGTGAGGTTGCCAGAGCGGTAGAATGGGTGTTCTCATTTTCTCTATGGAGGAAACAAGTTAATAGCATCTAAGTGGTTTACCCATGGCTAAGCTAACTCAAAGGAGGCAGAGCTAGGATTCAGATCTCAATCTTCCGATTCCATACTTTCTTTACTTGTCTAAAGTCAATCCGTCATTCAAGCCTACGTTTTACCATCTCTTCTCGGCTCCTTTCCCTTGCACCCTAAAACCATGCCCTACCTGCATGGCGGGCTTTCCTTAGGAACCCAGACACACGTTGCCTTCCCCTCACACGGTGCCCATTTCAAGACACTTACACGTCTTCAGCCACACCTTCCGTACAGCTTCGTGGTACTTCGTGTGGCTGTTCTGGTGCACAGAGTAATTCCTGTTCTCCGAGACAATGGGAGGAAGCCTGGACAGCCCGGGCTCCTTGTGATCTGTAAGAGAAGAACTTGTCCGGAGTACTTGGCAGATAGGTTCACTGCGTGCCTGGTCTTCCGGCACGGTGCCCAGCAGGGGTCTTTCCCAGGCATGCACATCTGATTCCCAGGATCTCAAGACCCACATCCCTGTGCCCATGACAAAGGGACAGGGGGAGAAGCCTGTGTCTCCGGGCCTCTCTCCCTACGCTTGCTCCCCTCTATCCAGCAGTGGCCTCCTGCTGGAATCAGCATGTGGAGGCCTTCGGGGTCAGGTCAGTGCCGGTGAAAAAGGCCCCTGATTGGACCGGATATTCCTCCCCCTAGGACTGGCACATGTGTAGAACTTCAGTTGAGTCACAGGTAAAGTTGTATTTGAGCCAAGTCTGGAGGGGATAGAGTAGAAGTGGGAAGGGCATTTTGGGCCGCAGGAAGGTAAGCACGGAGGAAGCAGCAGACACAGAGCGCAGCTGAGTTTTCTGTTGATTTGGAGTCTGGAAGGCTTACTTGTGCAGAGACGGTAGGATGGGCAGGGAGACAGCGTAGAGCCTACCAAGCTTTTCTTGTATTTGAGAATTCCCTTTTGTGAAACAAAATCTGTATGTTAGCAGGGTGGGAAAACCTTTTTTTTTCTGCCAAGAGCAATTTGGATATTTAGACCATCGTTCACAGACCCTAAAAAACAATCAACTCAAATAATCTAGTGGCTAAAGTCCTCGCCTTGCATGCACCGGGATCCCATATGGGCACTGGTTCATATGCTGGCAGTCCCGCTTCCCATCCAGCTCCCTGCTTGTGGACTGGGAAAGCAGTGGAGGACGGCCCAAACCCTTGGGACCCTGCACCCACATGGGAGACCTGAAGGAGGTTCCTGGCTCCTGGCTTCAGATCCACTCAGCTCCAGCCATTGCGGCCACTTGGGGAGTGAATCAATGGATGGAAGATCTTTCTGTCTGTCTCTTCTCCTCTTAGTATATCTGTAGTTTCCAATTAAAAAAAAAAAAAAGAAATCTTAAAAATATTAGCCTGCTCTAGATTTACTGAATTTCAAGCCTGGCCTTGAGTTGCTTTGGCAAGGCTGTTTTTCCCTGCCTCTTCAGTCCATCCCATCGCCTAAGCTGAAACAGGAGTAGACACCCGGCCCTGTCCTCTTGGGCCAGCACAGGGGCCGAGTACAATTCAGATGCACACTGGATGCTTTTGGTGCTTCTTGCCCATTGTCATGGAACTCTGCCTTTTCTCTTTCTTGATTACAGATGTTTGTCAGGGACTGGATCAGACCCGCTCTGGAAATTGTTGAGGCTAGCTGACCTGGCTCTGGTGTCGGGTACCATGCTACTTCTGTTCTGGAGTTCTTCCTCAGCTCCTGGCATCTCTCCTTCCCACCTTGACTCCACTGAGTATCCGTTCTCTCTGTCCCTTTCCCCTCCAATCAGAATCTCCTTTGACATGAATCGGAGAGAATGGCGCGCATTTTCAATCCCTTCTCTGCTCAGCTGTGGACTTGGAGTGGCGGTAGTACTGAAGCATTGGTTAATGTACAGAGTGCTGGAAGCCTGGACTGAAAGGCAGGGCTGGTTTGTGTTTCATCCCAGGTTCCAGAAATGATAGGCCGTGTCCTGGACGAAGTGTCATTTGAGCTTGATCGGCTTGATTTTTGGCAAGGTGGAGATGGCAGAATGTTCGTGGACAGGCAGATGTAGATGAATGAGAAAGAACACGCGCATACCCAGTAGGCAGTGCGACCTGGCCTGCCAGCTACCGGGGGCCTGAGCTCTTTTTCTGATTCCGAGGCCTCAGACTGATGGTCGGTGGGAAGGTGGCAAGCTAGCGCTTGCACTGCCGTGTATGGCAGGCTGCAGCCTCTGACACTGCTGTCTGCTATCAATGTGCTGGTCTGAGTCTCAGCTGCCCCTGGGAAGGCACAGAGGATGGCCCAAGTGTCTGGACCCTAACCAACTCTGCAGGAGGCCCGGATGGAGCGCCTGGTTCATGGCATCATCTATCCGGGGAGTGAACAAGTGGATGAAAGCTCTCTCTTCCCCTCCCACTATCTAAGTCTGTGTTTCAATTAAATGAATGGTTAACAAGCCCTTCCAGCTGACGTTTTCTGTCTCGATGTCTAAGCGGTAGGCTCCTAGCTTCCCATTGTCGATTGTTCCTGTTACTTAAAGGTGTTATTGGACGGTCTTGCCCACTGGGACATCTTCTTCCTAAATCAAGGTACCAGTTGGCATTTACCTTGCACTCATTTTGGCAAGCTGGGAGATTTTTTTTTTTTTTTTTAAATTGGAAAGGCAGATATACAGAGAGGAGGAGAGACAAAGATCTTCCGTCTGATGATTCACTCCCCAAGTGTTCACAACAGCCAGATCTGAGCCCATCTGACACCAGGAGCCAGGAGCCTCTTCCGGGTCTCCCATGTGGGTGCAGGGTCCCAAGGCTTTGGGCCGTTCTCCACTGCTTCCCCAGGCCACAAGCAGGGAGCTGGATGGGAAGCACGGCTGTCGGGATTAGAACCAGCACCCATAGGGGACCCCAGCATGTTCAAGGCGAGGACTTTAGCCACTATGCTATCACACCAGGCCCTGGGAGATTTTTTTTTTTAAGAATTTATTTATTTTGATTGGAAAGGCAGATATACAGAGAGGGGCAGAGACAAAGAGAAAGATCTTCCATCTGTTGGCTCACTGCGCAAGTGACCGCAATACATGGCCCCAGCAGACGGAGCTGAGCCGATCCAAAGCCAGGAGCCAGGAGTTTCTTCTGGGTCTCCCACACGGGTACAGGGTCCCAAGGCTTTGGGCCGTCCTCGACTGCTTTCCCAGGCCACAAGCAGGGAGCTGGATGGGAAGTGGAGCAGCTGGGATATTAACCATCACCCATATGGATCCCGGTGCTTGCAGGCGGCAGATTACCCGTTGAGCCATGGCACTGATCCCAATCAGTAATTTTGTTGACGTGTGGTAAAAAGCGGTTCTCGGCCCAGCGAGTTAATTTCATGCTCTATAAAGTCTTTATCAGCAAATAAACACTGAGTAGCTTGAATAGCTTCTTGAACCGGGCTCTAAGTGGAGCTGTTAGAAAACTACATTTAATGCACCACAATGTTCATGCTGAGTGGCATAAAAATATTTGGAAATCACAATGGAATATTATTCAGCCACAAAGAGTAATGAGATCCTCGGGGTCAGCATTGTGGCACAGTGGGTTAAGCTGCTACCTAAGGTGTCGGCATCCCATGTGAGCACCGGTTCAAGTCCTGGCTGCTTCACCTCTCATCTCGTTCTCTGCTGATGTACCCAGGAAAAGCTGTGGAATATGGCCCCTCACAGAAGACCTAGCTGGAGCTTTTGGTCCCTGGCGTCAGCCTGGCCCAGCCCTGACTCTTGTGGTCATTAGAAGAATGGGTTAATGACTGAACGAGTCTCTCTCTTTGCAGCCCTGCCTTTTGAACAAATAAACAAGCAAATCTTAAAAAAAAAAAAAAACGAGATTGTGACATTTGCAGCTAACAGACAGAACTGTAGGTTATTACATGAAGTGAATTAAGCCAGATATAGTTAACTGCATGTTCTCTCTGATTTGTGGGGGTTAAATAAAAATTCATCTGAATTTAAATGAGCAATTTGGGGAGGGTGCTGGATATTAGGTACCAAAACACAGGCAGTAGAAATAAATTCTAGTGTTCCACAGCACAGCGGGGTTACTATAATTCGTAGTTGTGTGGTTACTGTAGCCGATGGTACCATACAAACATCAGAATAGAAAAACCAGTAGGCACCAAGCAAAAGAAAGGAAGTGGAAATGCCAATTGCCTGACAATCTGTCTGTACCACACGCTATTAAATATTGTACATACTGATATTGGCAGGCACACACCCTGTGGTGCCCTGCATCCGCACGGGAACACTTAGGTTGAGTTCCAGCTCTGCTCCCGATTCTAGCTTCGTGTTGACGCAGACCCTAAGAGGCATCCGTGGTGGGGCAGGCATTCGTGTTCCTGTGACGCACGTGGGAAGCCTGGATTGAGTTCCTGGCTCCCAGCAGCATCCTGGCCCATCTCTGATCACTGCGGCATTTGGGGAACGTGTCAGTGTGCGGGCGCCTTGTTTCTGGCCCTCTTCGTCTCCAGTAAAATAACTTGAAAAATACACAAGTGTTATATATTAAATGGTTTATTTATGTTACTTGGAAAATCAGAGTTACAGAGAGCGCTTCCAGTGCCATGACTGCCAGAGCTGGACCAGTCTAAAATGATACCGAGGGGCTCTCTCTGGGTACCCTACGTGGGTGCAGTAGCCCAAGTACTTGGACCATCCTTTGTTGCCCTCCTAGGACATAAGGAGCTGGGTCAGGAAGTGGAGCAGCCGGGATGTGAACCAACACCCACATGGGATGCTGGCAGTACAGGTGGAGGTTTAACCTGTTCCACCGCTGCATTGGACTCTATGTTCATTAAGAATTTGAAATAAGAAGTAGTATTAGTGGAGTGGGTTTTGCATCTATCCAAATTGGTGATGCAGGTTTTTTTTTGGGGGGGGGGCAGGGGGAGGTCACAGGCTTTTCTTTTCTGCTGTTTTGCAGTAGGCAATACTGCTGCTTATAACAACTGAGCTGCCCGGAGAGTTCTTGAAACGGGTTTTCCTGGTGGCTTCCAGAAGTCTGACATTAGAGCAAGCATGATCTACTGCAGCAATAGTGTCCAACACATACTGCTTGCAGCTGTCTTGGAGATGCTGCGGCCGCAAGCGTGCGAATAGCGCCTCAGCTGGAAACGTGCCCTGATCCATCTGCGGCAAAAGTCCTCCTGAGCAGGAGGTTACTGTTGGGCGTTATCCCCTTGGAGTTGGCTAGAGTATTAAGATGTGCTGACATTGGCTACCGAGCGTGTGGCAGGTTCTCTGCCACTTACTGCCTTCCCTGAGACAGGGACATGAGCAGTGCTTAGGGAAGGGGACAGAGGCCTCGGTCCAGGGCATCGGGCCACTGTATGGTTCGTTGTCCGTACGGTAGCA